CCATCCATCGTCCCTTTTATGCGGTGAAGTTGTCCTTTCATCTTAGGAAAAAACACTCCCAAAGCATAATGTTTCCATCTCCATGTTTGATGGTGGGGATGGTGTTCTTGGAGTCATAAGCAGCATTCCTCCTCCAAACACGGCAAGTTGAGTTGATGCCAAAGAGCTCTATTTTGGTCTCATCTGACCACAATACTTTCACCCAGTTTTCCTCTGAATCATTCAGACGTTCATTGTCAAACTTCAGACAGGCCTGTATATGTGCTCTCTTGAGCAGGGGGACCTTGTGGGGGTGCTGCAGGATGTCAGTCCTTCACGATGTAGTGTGTTACAATTGTTTTTATGGTGACTATGGTCCCAGCTGCCTTGAGATCATTGGCAAGATCCTCCCATGTAGTTCTGGGCTGATTCCTCACCGGTCTCATGATCATTTAACTCCACAAGATGAGATCTTGCATGGAGCCCCAGACTGAGGGAGATTGAAAGTTATTTTGTATTTCTTCTGTTTGCAAATAATTGCACCAACTGTTATCACCTTCTCACCAAGCTGCTTGGTGATGGTCTTGTAGTCCATTCCAGCCTTGTGTAGGTCTACAATCTTGTCCCTGACATCCTTGGACAGCTCTTTGGTCTTGGCCATGGTGGCAACATTGGAATCTGATTGATTGATTGCTTCTGTGGACAGATGACTTTTATACAGGTAACAAGCTGAGATTAGGAGCACTCCCTTTAAGAGAGTGCTCCTAATCTCAACTCATTACCTGTATAAAAGATACCTGGGAGCCAGAAATCTTGCTTATTGATAGGGGATCAAATACTTATTTCACTCATTAAAATGCAAATCAATTTATACCTTTTTTGAAATGTGTTTTTCTGGATTTTTTTGTTATTCTGTCTCTCTCTGTTAAAATAAACCTACCATTAAAATTATAGACTGATCATTTTTTTATCAGTGGGCAAACGTACAAAATCAGGGGATCAAATAATTTCCCCCCCCTCACTGTAGCATTTGTCTGGAAATTTGGGTGAAATCCATGCTTGGCTATATAAACAAGAAGGGCAGAGAACTTAGAGCCCAAAAACTTAGAGCCCAAAAGAGCAGTAATGGAGACTTCCCTATAGATTTCAAAAATGTGTATTGTTTGTCTTTCAGTTTCAAAAACTTAGTTCTGTTCATAATTATGCTAGTTCCTTCCTTCTACATTGCTGTCTGAGAACTGAGATCAAAGCAGTGTGGCTGGCTGTCATCTCACAGAATGCACTTTGGCAAATTACCCTAGTCTTTTTCATCAATGAAGAACAGCTGTTCACCTAATTTGTTTTTCACTCCCTTGCCCTGAAGAAAAGTTAGGGACTGTCTCCCAAGATGGTATTTCTCTTTTAATCTTAAGGGGAAACTTAGGCTAGGTGTTTTTACCCACCAGTTTCATATACAGTAGTGGTTAAGGCACCAGGGTATAAACTATGTAAGTTCTAGTTCTATCTTAGGTATGAAACTAGCTGGGTGACTTTGGATCCAGTCGGGTTCTCTGAGCCCTACAGAGAAACTCATGGCAAAACACTTCAGAAAATCTTGCCAAGAAAATTGCAATCCAGGCAGTTACTAGGAGTCAACGTTGGCTTGAAGGCGCCATTTGCCTTCTAATAATGGCTGATGCAAAAATGAGACCCAATCTGTTTTAGCCATTTGAAGAATGCTATTCAACTGGGCCCTTTCAAATGGAAAACAATGGCTTTCTCTTTGATGGTGGCTACAGCCTCATTTGGGGAGACACAGTTTAACTATAGGAAACAGTCTGAGCATTGAATAATATAAATTAGTGAAATATCACTTTAAAATAGTTGGAGATATTTACTTCATGTACTTCACTCAAAGTTGAAGATCACAGCTGATACAGTATTGTACATGTATAGTGAATAAGAGGGGAGCTCACACAAAATCAGACAGCAAAATCAGACACCTTCTGTATGTTGCACCTATAGTGCCTTTATTAGATTTAACATAATTGCAGCTTTTCTCTCAACTGGTATAGCCCTATCCACTTGAGGGAAACCTCTGTCCCTGAAATAGCATATATATTTTTTGTAGGAAGAAAATAAAGAAATTTTAAAGAAAATAGAATGATCAATTTTCACTGCCACTTGCACTGTCTGCAAGTGGCTAACTAAATCTAGCATTGTTGATTTATGCACTTAAGATGCTGGTGTTGATTGAAGTTTTGATTGCAGTTAATGCACACTGTATTTAAGAATAAAGTCCTTTTAATGCTGTTAGATAAGGTGCTAAATGTTCAGTTTTAAATTTGAATGGTTGATGAATCTAAAATTATTGTGGCTCATTGGTTTTCTTCATAAACTGTCATATACACATATTTTTATAATATATGGAAATGCGCACACACACACACACACACACACACACACACACACACACGCATACAAAATATAACATTGTTTATAGGATTATAGTCCCCAGTTACCCATTTTTGAATGGACAATCTGGTAGATCACTTTTATTTATAAAGCCATAAACAAATTTTAAACAAAGAAGCAAAACAAATTCAAGATTTAAAAAACAAAACAAATCTCCAGATGATAATTGTACAAATGAGAGAAATTTTCCCCTGCTACATACTTACAGAGATTTTTTTGTGGCTTATTACAGTTAAATTTCCATGACATGGTACATTCAGTCTCTTCAGAAAAGCAAATAGTGGCATTAAAACGGCACTTGCTGTGTATACCATTTAACTCATGAGTAAAACACCATGATCAAAGCTTTCATTTTACACAGCGAGGGAAGATAAAATACAGAAAATTTAATATAGCGTTTTTAAGCATCTCTTTTTGGCATTTAAGTGATAACTTGCATTTTTGGAATCTCGATTGTTTTTAAATGTTTCTAAATTCTTGTGACTGCTCTACTCTTGACTAAAATAGCTTATCTTCCTAGTTACATAAATGATAATCATGCTGATTGAATAGTTAATTCAGTTCCATTTTTGCACATCTAGTTATGGACTCATCTGATTGTAGGTGCAAATGCAGAAGTGCCTCTTTATGAGCTCTGTTTATATCATTGGGTTCAGGAGGCTTTCACTAATTTCAGAGTTCCTCTGAACGATTGATTGGGTGACCCTTTCTGGAAGAAGAAATCAAGTATAACATTTTAAAGAATAAAATTTCAAAATGATGATATTCTAGGGAAGTGCATACCATAGACTTGAAATCAGGTTTGGGCAATTTTTTGATGCCAAAAGGCACATCTAGTTTTCCATGGGTTACTAAAGGTTTTACAGGAGGACTATTTCATGTATGGCTAAAGGTATTGGCTGCAAGCTGGGAGACTCTGTTCTAGTCCTACTGTGAAAGACAACATCAACTGTGACTTAGTGCCAGTCACAGTCTCTCGGCCCTAGGATGAATGCAATGGCAAACCACTTCTGAAAAATGTTCACAAGAAAACTGCATGGACTTGTTTGTGTAGTTTTGTAGATCAAAGCTAACTCAAAGGCACAAATAAAGTAAAATAAAGTAAAATTCTTATATGTATGTGGGCTGGGATTTTCCCAACTCTGATAAGTTTTTGAAGCTGAATTATTTTAGGATTTATACTATATTTTTGGTGAGTTTTTGCCCTAAAGATGGGGAAAAATACTACCAGCTGTTCTTAGCAGTCATATTATTATATTGGATGGTTAAGTCAGATGGCTAAAAAAAGTGGCTGAGAGACTATGGCTTATCTATTCTTGGTTTAATGAGGTTTCTGATAGCATTCCAAAAATTCAGATTAGGAATCACTTTTCTTCTTGTTTCCCTTCAGTTCCTAAGATACTTGAATGAGAACATCATGCAAGTATTAGGAGGATCAACCTGCAATTCTACCTTTGATTCATTTATGGTCAGCTTACTCACTACTTTCAAACTGTAACCTGTCAGCATTACTGTCTCTTTCTAATCTTGCTGAAAATGGAAGGAAAAGAATGTTAGAAGTTAACTATGGTTGGAGTCTGAAAAAAATGAGGTCAATGAAGGACTTTTCTCAGTCCGTATCAAATGTAGGTCTACAGTTAAATAATTATTAATTTGAAGTTGTAGACTGCCCCTACCATTATTTATACTGATTTAAAGCTGTAATTGACTGATTCCTCATTCCCCAGAAATTTCTGTTTTCCTTCTCAAGAGAGAGAAGTGGGGAAAATCGGAAGCAGTTTCCTCTCATTGCCGCAGAATAAAGTACTATGGGAAATGTGCTGTATGCTCCTCAACACTGCAAATTGCGTACTTAACTTTGTGTGTTAGCTTGCATGTAAAAATACTTCTATTTGATTTGCCTGAATCAGTTTTTTTCTTGCTTTTTGTTCCTATAGAGGTAGCCTTTTCTAAACTTTTATTTCTTAAGGATTCAATATATGGTTTCTTCAATAAAAGACAGTTAAAGAATGAACATGCTAATGTAGAATGCTTGTTCTACACTGCATTCTTTACTAAGCTTCATGTTGCTCAATTAAAAAAAACAAGCAGCAAGCTCGATACAATGGATAAGTATTCAGATTTTCCTCTTATTTTACTCTCACTAGTGAAATATGAATTTATTTCAGGTTTTAACCAACAATAATTTTCGCCTGGGCTGTGCGTGTTCAGATAGAGCAGAGAAGCCATCAAAATAGGGAAGAAGGCAAATATGAATTGTCATAGATGTATACTTTATGTTGTTAAATATAAGACCTGAAAAAATATGTTGTTTATTAATACACTTACAGAAAAATACTCCATATGAATCTGAAAAACTGGCATAGCAATAAATTGCAGTGAGAGCAGAACTTGGTTCAATCAAAGGTTCAAATTGTCTTTTCATCAGAGTGTATTGTATTGCTACTGCTGTTCTTACGTAGAATGGAATCTGGTGCTGCCCTTTTTAGTTACGGAATGGTGTTAGGAAAAGAGGGAGGGAGACAATTCTTCTGTTCTCTTCAGCCTACATTTCCTCCCCACCCCCACTCCCCCACCACATCTGTTCTGGGAGGGATTGAGTGATAGCACAAGAGAATAATTCATTGTGCAAGCCATCTTCCACCTGTGCAATATTGGATTTTGCCCAAGGAGATATCATAAACAGTAAAAAATTGTCTAAGAATATTTCAGAATAGAGCTTTAGTTAAAAAAAAGAGATGAAAAAAGTAATGCAAAATCAGTCTTTAATTGAAAAATATCTTATTCCAAATAAAGGCTAGATTTTTATGAGATTGCCTTAGTTACAAGTTTTGTTGATTGAAAAAGGTACTTTTGATTCATCTATCCTAACAGTGATTACAGCAGTGAGCTTAAGATGTATTATAAGAGAAACCACTAATCATTCATTTGCTCACAAGTTCTGCAAGAGACGTGTTTGGGCTAGTAATCTGTCATGCTCTACGAGTGGTGAATTGATAGGTTTTAATGTCAGTTCATGCCACATTAGAAAAAAAAAAGGGAATTATATATTCTTTGTCCATGCTAGCCAGTCATGTTAATGCTAACACCCATGTTCAGATGTATTAAGGTCCTTTCATATGGAGTGAAGTGGTTTAGTTTCAAGCCCATAAAGTTAGAGAAGTGGGTTGCAAACTCTTCAGGGCTGTTATTTTGCAACCTTCCTTTGATTTCCAGAAAGGTTAATGTAGGGTTTGTTGAAATACCATTGTAAAGGTGATAGGGATCTACTTTATCATTGATAATGAAGTGACTCACCCATTTCAGTTACTCCACATTATGAATTTTCCTATCCTTTGTCCAGTAGCTCAGTACTTCCATTGATGTTATCTCAGTATGTTGGGATTGGTTGGTATCAATGTGTGACTCTAAATTTGTCCTCTGAGAAAACTACCATCCCTAAAGTAAGCACCAGAAAGGGACCATCTGTGTTGATTACATGGTTAAAGTTCAAAGCAATCAACTTTACTTAGCACTGAAAATGAATTGGGCTCTGGGGAAACGTATAACTTTCAAATAAATATCTTCCCTGTAGAACGGACAAAAGGGATAGAGAGAATGAAGAATATGACTAGGCTTCAATATTGCAGTTGTAGAAATGACTCTATAGGCAGAGTGTGCTATCACAATTGGCTTGGAAGAGATGGTGGGTATATCTTGGCAAGCTTTTAAAAAGCCACAAAGACTGCAGAGTAATTTTTTAGTGATTATAGAGGCACAACTTATATCGTTTTCTTATTTCCCATTCATTACATAGCAAAAGCACGGTAACCTGTGAAAAATAAGTATTTTTGAGTTTTGCATATTTTACAGTAGATAGCATAAAAAAATCTTTACAGCTAAAAAATTGTGATGCACACAGCCCTATGTCTGGAATACTAGACAGACTTTCACAGCCAATGTTTTCTCCTATTTTATCACCTAATAAAGCTGCTGGATTAAACATTTATTAATGCCATCATTCCTTGATCCCAAAGATGAGGCATAATTAAATATTTTAGTTTCTTACAAGTTGCTTTATACTTTTTCTGTGGAACGTTTGAGCTTGTCACTCAATACTGGTTTTGTAATGTGTAATATCTGTTGGATGGCTGAAACTCAGGACTTTGACTATAATAGTTTAATAAATGCCTTAATGTTTGTAGCACCTCTCATCTGCAATTAAATCAGTGTATTTTGTTTTTATCTCAGTTGGAAAAGGAATTAAGTAATTCAGTTACTGACCAGAATTAAGTTTATCTTCATACTTTTCAAAGAGACTGTTGATGTCCTTACTTTAGACAACACTTTTAGTGCTGCAGTATTGTTGTTTTCTGATTTGGCTTTTGACTGACTTTAAGACTACCATTTGATGGCACGCTGAAGTTGTCTCTCTGTAGCTTCTGTATGCAGCAGAACCAATCAGCAAAGTGCCTGATGAATCTGTGCGCCTTATTGTCACATTACTACTATGTTCCTATTGATACCATATTGCACCCTGAGGATTCACTTGGCACTATGGATTTATGAGGCACTGTTGAACATTTAGAAGGAAGTCCCGATGTGCTTGTAGCAGTTTTGAGATGTGCAGATAAAGGAGAAGGATTGGCTTGGTTTTGGTGTATAAGATCAGCAGGAGCAGCGAGCTTGTTTGGAATAAAAGCAGGGGATGTACACTGGAGCACATCCAAAGGGGAGGGAGGGGAATCTATAGTACTTCCATTGGAAGAAACTGGGCTGGAGCAGTGTCCTTTTCCTTGTAGGTACCGAATGCACTTCTTTTTCCTCCTAAGAACAGTGAAGAGAGTTATCTGTAAATAAAGGGTGAATTTACAAGGTCATATTTTAAAAAATGAAACCATTATAGCATGTCATACAAGTATAGTGTCTAAGGAACAAGCATTTAGACAGAAAAACATATTCGTTCTTAACTTCTACCACTCAAGTTTTTGTAAGAAGCATTTTTTTTAAAAAAACAACTTACTGTCAAGTTGTATTTTTTACCACTAGATGGAGGTGTAACTGTAAAACTGCTAAAATTTCTCCAAGCCGATGAGCAAAACAGATAAAAAGTTATCAGAAAAGTTTAGTTATGGTTATTGCTCTCCAAGGGGTTACTAAAAGCAAAAAAAAAAAAAAAAAGCCACACAGAGATATGTAGATTTGGATAATTCCCAATAAATAACAAGTATAATGTTTTGAGTCAGTCATTTAATTGGGTTTTCTTTATTTAGTTTTAGGACTTGTGTGGAGAACAGAACATGTTTTAAGTTGGGTATAGTGGTTAGAAACTAGAAATGGACTAAAACCCGGAGACCATGAGTTCTAGTCCCACCTTAGGCATGAAGCCAACTGGATGACTTTGGATCAATATTTTTTCTCAACCCTTGAAAAGAAGCAATAGCAAACCACTTGAAATCTTGTCTAAAAACTGCAGGGACTTGTCCAACAGTTACAGGAGTCAAAGGCATCTTCCCCCCAAAAATTAGAGATGAGTAGTGGTTTTGGCAGGGGTAATTCTAAGGATGCTCTGTCCATACTTGAGCATATTTCAGAAATTATTCTGCTTCCTTGAGTATGAAGTAATTACAATTCATTGACTAGCTTGACTAACAAAGGATGTCACATTAATTTCAAAGCTATAATCTTATATTTTCCATTGCAGTTCTGCATATTTCCATTACAGCTTGGGCAAATCATTAAATATTTATTTTGACAATCAGGCTTGAACTGTGAAAGCAAACAAATTCATTTTCACTGAAAATGCAATCTAATTCACCTTGATTAAGCTATTTATGTGCTCTCAAACCACTGTTTGAGAGCACAGGCTGTGGGAAATGGACTCTCTCAGTCTTTCCACCCAGGATTAGTTGATGGATTTTCTGCCAGACAACTTCAAAATTGCCTAGTATAGCATGCAATGAAGCTATGTAGCCTGGAAAGTCTTCAGCTTATGGGAGTGGATCAATGGTGCAACCCTACGATGGATATATTCTAGGCAGTTCTGTAGCAGACACCACAGCCAGTCTATCTGAGCCCTCTTGGTACATAAAGGTTTTCCAAACAGGTTAATTTTGACCAATACAACAGAGTTCTTTGCAGCATGCAATAAAAGTGGCCAGCTTCAAAACACTTCAATCTGAGAATTTTCAGCTTATGAATGCAAAAAGAAAGTAGGGGGAGTAATTGTGATATTTTGGCCATTATACCTTGGAGAGTTGAACAATTGATGCCAGCCAGCCACACATCTGTGGACTGTTGACCAACATGGGAAGAACTGGTGGCAATTTCACTTCAAATCCCTTTGGCATTGGCTGTCAAAAAGTCTGACAAGCATGTGTCAGGACAGGTGAGTGGTGATGCACCTTGCTCACACCTGTCTGACGTATTTAGCACCTGCTGGGGAATGCTCCTGGCCAATTATCTTGAGAAGAACAAGTAGGCCAATGGTGCCACTGGGTGCCTCTGCCTAGGATACACTGGATAATGCTCTGCTGTATTCTTTCAGCCTATGGTAGGAGATGTCTACCCTGTGTTGAGAAGGCACTCTCGATCTTCTCTCACAGGCCTTGCCAAAGAAGATTCTTCTCAGCCCACATTCATAACTCAAGCTCTTTGGGAGTATGAAGAGAGGGAGTCTAAAACAGACTGAAATGGAACAATTGTCTTAAAAGTTGGAGGTTTTTACTGCATTGTGAAACAACCTCAAGGGAATGCCACATTTGAAAATTTGTAGACTCGTTATTATTTTGGGGAAAGATAAACCAGTAAGCCAAGGATTTGAATTGCAGTAGGAGATCAACCCTGACTGCTCTTTAGAAGGCCAGATCCTAAAGTTGAAACTCAAATACTTTGGCCACCTAATGAGAAGGAAGGACTCACTGGAGAAGAGCCTAATGCTGGGAAAGATTGAGGGCAGTAGAAGAAGGGGATGAGACAGAGAATGAGGTGGCTGGATGGAGTCACTGAAGCAGTAGGCGTGAGCTTAAATGGACTCCAGAAGATGGTAGAGGACAGGAAGGCCTGGAGGAACGTTGTCCATGGAGTCGCGATGGATCCGACACGACTTCGCAACTAACAACAACAAAGATCCAACTGTGCTGCCTATCTAGACATTATCACTATCCTGCTCCCTTTCAGATATGCAAATTGGTTTGTGCATCACATTTTAGAAGAGGAGGTAAGGAATTAGCTTCAAAGATGCAGCTCAACTACTTTTGTTAATCTGGAATCAGTGTTCACTACAAGCAAAATGTTAATTCTTACCTCAGTATAAATATATTCAGAAAGAAAAGTTAAGAGTGCCATATTTGTATTGCTAGAGAAGTTCACTATTGTTTCTAGTCTTGAACATTAATTGATAACGTATTCTATATGGATACCATTTATAAAAGAAAACATTTAATAGCAAATAAGATCAGAATGAATATTGAAGGGTTTTTTCCCCTAGAAGTTCAGTGTTCTGATGGCTAGGTAGACATGATGCAACCATTGCACATTGTTACAGAAGCCATTATGTATTGAATTCCTTTGCTCAATAAACCAGCATTGAAAGAAATATACCAATCATCAAAGTAAACATTCTATATTTAATTGGAGGATTCAGATTGCTTGAATCAACAAATCGGGTAAAATCAGGTTGGGCTGAGAGAACATGATTTTAGATCCATGATTTCCCAAATCTAGAATAAACATCCTGACATTGTGCTTCCAAAGAGCACTGAAGTTTTCCTTAGGGCTAAGTAGCTCTCCAAATTCAAAGAAAAGTACTGAGAGCCATCAATAGTATGACAAGAGTGTGAAAAATAAATTGTCCTCTATTCTAAATAAAAGCAAGATAACACTGTTATTATGGGAGAAGTGAGTAGATACTCTTTTATCAGTGCTGGTTTCCATGGGAAAGGAAGGATCTGAACCAGGATTGTTGACCCTGCTCAAAGTTTGAAGGCTCGTGTTCTTCCTTTTCTGTGTTACAGTATCTCTCAAATAGACTTTGGTTTACAGATTACTTCTTTGTTACTGTTCCTATCGTAAATGGAAGCCATTAGGTTTGTATTACACTTGCAGAATCATATCTTGCGTAGCAATCCTACCCCCTCCCCAAATAAATAAATATTGGGAAGTTCTGTCTGTATTAAAGCCCATCTTTGAAGAGCCCTGTGTTACAACTTTTTTTTCCATTCATTATTTTAAAAATAGTCTGAATCTGTTCTGGAAGAAAAAAGTGGGGACCGTATGTTTACATTATCTTCCGCCACATATTGCTTCATTTGCCAGGATAAGAAACTAAAACAACTAGTTGTAGGGAACTGTTGATGCATAAGTATTGAAATCAACTGATACCAAGAATAATACATGTCATCGCTTCCTTAATAAAAATTCTAAGGAGCAGGAGTCATTTTTATTAAAGGACTACTAAGAAGAGAGAGAATCGTGGAGGACCACATGTTAAAAAGCCCATAGAAGCCATACTGTTTGGATTGGCAATTGGCAAGGAAGGGCATATAGTACCTGTCGGTAGGTTTTGGTTGCTGATTCATGAAAAAGTAATCTGATAGTTTGCCACTTTTATCTTTAGTCCATTTTAAATAAATCTGATACCCTTTTCCAAAAATTTAATCATTTTTCTGTATACCATTCTAATTAAAAAAGTTCCCGCCCTCCCCATATACTACGCTAAGATATTTTACTAATTTCTCTCTTCAGCCTTAAATGCAGAAAGCATCGGTAGGTCGCACAAACGGAGCATGTGCAAAATTGAGAGTAAGCCTAAGCAGCACCATTAGTAGAGTTAGAAAAGGCAGCTACAGAAATGATGCAAGAGAGATAAATCAAAATAGAGAACAACCAGGTTTGTGGTAAGAAACAAGGCCGCAAAGCGAAAGTTCCTGATACACACCTGCATGGGCCGCACCAGTCCATTTGTTGGTTGAGGCCAAAACGAGCTCTGCATTTCTTAGGAGAGGCAGGATCTGAACAAGGAGCATGCGTATTGAATGGGCAAGGCAGAGGCACAAACAGCAGCAAGAGCAGGAGAAGAAAGAAAAGATGCAACGTCGATTTAGCTGCTGAAGACAAAACTAAACAGGCCATGTAAACTCAATTCTTCACATAAATGTCTACTAGCATCATCTTTTCCCCCAAAAAAGTGAGTGTTAAACAAATAGATTTGATAGAGCCACGAATGCAATGATTAAGAAAATAAATTGCAGATCCACTAGTATAAAATACTAGGGTTTTATTCTTTTATTTTATTTTGGTCACTTTTGTCTTTCAACCTATGCATTTTTAGAGAATATTTGAAAAAGCCCTTTAGGTTTGATTAGATCGGAAATTCTGTCGAACAAGCAAGCAGGTCTGTTTTTTATATTAGAATTTTGTTATATTCTTCCCCATGGAGAAGCAACTTAATGATATCCTATATGCTAAGTCCTTATTGCTAAACAGGTTAGGGCAGGGGTAGGCAACCTTGGCTCTTTTATGACTCGTGGACTTCAACTCCCAGAATTCCTGAGCCAGCCATTCTGGGAGTTGAAGTCCACGAGTCATAAAAGAGCCAAGGTTGCCTACCCCTGGGTTAGGGGAATAAAAGCAAGAAATCACTTAGAAATTAATGATACTTAGCTACAGTCTAGATCAGAAGTAGGAGTGTAACCCTCCAGATGTTGCTGAACAATACCTCTTGGAGATCCAGCCCACCCAGCCATTGTGATTGAGGCAGCATCTGGTGGTGCAAGAGATCATCTGCTAGCTAGACACATAGCTTTCACATGGGTTTATAGTACTTCTGCTTGATGGAGCTTTTCTGTAGACATTTTTCAGCTCATGGATGCTTAGTCCCCCCAAAATATGGCTGCCTCAGGAAATTTCTATAGGAATCCGTTGTTTGGATTCCAAGCTCATGTATCAAACATTTGAGACCTAGACAATTTTGTGATTGCTAGAACAAAGGTATATGAGACAGTAGCCAATATTACAGTATGTATGGGAAACTTACATTCCAAAAGCTTTGGTTGGGGCACTCAGAGAACTTTCTTCTTGCTATTGAAGATTTGGAAATAATTTTTACTTTTACTCTTCTTTTTTAAAAGGGCTCAAGAATCATGTAAAGAGAAATTGACCAATGTTCATTATCCAGAATGAATTTAATATTTAAAATGTGCTTAATATAAATTAAATTTAAGAAATATTTTGGAATTCATCTTTTTCATTGGCATCTTACCAAATGTTCTATCTAATGACAAAATGGATTCATTACATTTTAATACATGAAAACTAATTTTAAGGAGAAACTAATATTAAAAAGCATATATGAGAATATGTCTGTTAAGGTTTTATATCCTTCTTAGAAACTGTTATTACTGTTACAGGCATCATGCTTGTTAACTATTTGTGCTGATTGAAAGTTCCTATATACGTTTTAAAAATAGCAATTTTAATTGATTATAAAGGAAAAGCATACACCATAAAATCTACTTTCCCACAATATAGATATTTAGTTATTAAAAACAGGATCTGGCAAGTATTGCCAAGGCAGAATTGTATTTAATCTATTTTAAAATCTATTTTATTTACATGTTTTTTCCTCTTTGAACCCACTCAGTTTCCTGGTAATGTATCACCCATAGCTTTTTATTTTTATTTTTTTTAAATATGGAGCCCTTTGGTCTTAAAAAGATTCCTTTTGTATATTTGGTAGTTGCAGCAAAAATGGGCTTTTGGATTGGAAGTCAAATGTTTCATAAATGTTTTAACTTAGGCTTTCCTAATTTTTTTATTGAAAAAAACTGAAACAGCCACAAATGTAAAGAGACTGTTAAGTTAAATTGATGTAAAGAGACTGTTAAGTTAAATTGACGTCAAATTGCGGTTAACATGAATTAGTTACTTTTGGTCTCTTGATATTGTCATCACAGAATAGCAGACAAATATATAATTGTAGATAGTGGCAAAGCTAGAAAGATTAGTGCAGATAGTAAAGCATAGATAGTCCCAATAACCATGGTTACACATCCTGGAAGAAATCTGTTTTGGCTAATTTCTTACCAATGTAAATGAGGTCATCAATAATCAGATAATGTGCTAGATTTTACACCAGCAGGTTTACCTGAATTGGAGTCTTGCTGCTTTTCTCTTGTTCGTCTTTTCTTTTTTCCCTGTGATTAAAAAAGGAGAAAGAGAAAATAAATCATAAACTGAACAAAACAAGCTAGTTTTGTTTAGAAAAAGAATTTGGTGAAGAACTAATGCAACATAGCTCCCCTCCCACCAATTGGTTTGCTGCAGTTTTATCACCAAAGATTTTGTTTTTCAAATTCCTTATTTGCTAAAATGAGATGACCCCATTCACCAAGTCATCCAAACACAGCATGTTGGATCTTACTGACTGTGCTCCAAAGATGCATAAGGAAAGCACTTCTCACTTTCAAAATACGATAAAATTTCCCCAAGACTTCAGGGTCACTGTAACAGTGAGATGGTCAGCAAATAGATTATGGATATGGATATGGATATGTATGTATGTATATATGTATGTATATATAGAGAAATGATAGACATAGATAGATATAGATAGATGACAGATGATAAATAGAGATAGAGATCAATGACAGACAGATAGACAGATAGATAGATAGATAGATAGATAGAGTAGGTAGATGCAGTTATTCTTATGGCCCTGATTGTAATACTTGACTTCAGTTTTCTACTCCACCAAAAATCACCTATATAATGAACAATGTGAATCTAGACTACCATTGGGAAGCGGTGTTTTAACTAACTATACAGTATTTTAAAGGAGCTGAAGGATGTTTGATAGCAGCAGCTCCAGGAAAAGAGATCATTGGGTTAATAAAGAATATACCCATACTCATAACAGAGAGAGATCTCTGCCACACAGAAGAAAATAATGATCTAAAAAACTCTCCCCCTTTTCTGTGAAGTCTGGACACTTCTTGTCTAAACCTTTCTACCTTGGTGCCTCAGTTGTCCATCATAATTACAGTTGAGAACCGTATCCTGCAGCAACAGATACCAAAGCTTTGCACTACAGGTAGTCCTCGACTTACGACCACAATTGAACCCCAAATTTATGTTGTTAAATAAGACATTTGTTAAGTGAGTTTTGCCTCATTTTATGACCTTTCTTGCCACAGTTGTTAAGTGAATCATTGCAGTGGATAAGTTAGTAACCCGGCTGTTAAATGAATCTGGCTTCCCCATTGGCTTTGCTTGTGAGAAGTGGTGAAAGGTGATCACATGACCTTGGGACACAGCAATATGAAACAGTTGCCAAGCATCTGAATTTTAATCACATGATCATGGGGATGCTGCAAAGGTTGTAACTTTGAAAAATGGTCATAAGTCACGTTTTTCAGTGCCGTTGTAACTTTGAACGGTCACTAAATGAACTGTTGTAAGTCGCGGAATGCTTGTAGTCCATGTCTCTTGATGACACCCAATATCCTCTTTATTGGCAGCTCATAGTTGCTAGTAAAGTCATTGTATATTAAGATCACAGCTGATGTTTCAATGAGATCAATTTGACTTTGTCATGATTTTTAAAGGATTAACAGACTTCCATTTTCAAATCTGCTAAAGCCTAATGCATAAACTGGCACATTGCACCTGATTTGGATAGAGAAAAATGCACAACTTTTGAGGTACTCTGAAACTGAACAGTTTTCTTCCAGAAGAGATGGAGAAAAAAAGTAGCTGGTATTGAATGCAGAAGATGATTGTGCCAGGCTAACTAAAGGATTCTGTTTGCAGGCATGCTGAGGCACTGCTGATCTGCATCAGGTGCACAATTTCTCCCCCAATGAAACAGAATACTTTTATCTGCTGGAAAAAAAGTCTTTTAAAATAATCCAGGAGCAAAATGGGGAAGGTAATGGGATGGAAAGAAATTTGTTTCAGTTTTAGTTGAGCATAACAAAATAAAATAGTATAATTCAATATTTAAATATTCAACTTTAGAATCAAGACTATTTCAAATCAGCTTACAAATGAAGACATCTGCCCTATAGCTAGGGCCTGTTTGTGATTTCATATGTATCATGGTAACATAACTTAATGTCTTAATTGCATTAACCTCCATTCTCTTGAGTATAAAATCTGTAACCACCAGCAGCTTGAAAGACATACAATACTTGCAGGTTTGGGCTGCCCAGTCCAAAGGATATTTTGCTAAGCTCCCAATGAGTATAACTTACTCTGGAGTAAATATGTTTAGCCTTTGTTTAACTGCCAGAGATGCAACTGCAATTTTGGACAAAACAAAGACTGTTCCATTTTAAGTTCAAACAACATTTAAATATGTTTGTCATTAACTAGACACAAAAAACCCACTTCCCTGATGAAAGCAGGCAAAATCAAACCAGATTGTGTTTTCCCCACACTTCTGCCCATACAGTACTGATTTTGCTTGCATCAGGAGGCCAAGTTACTGCAAAACTTCCAAACCCCACAATTAAAACAAAGTTGGTGGTTGTTGCTAACTGGAAAACTCCCTGCTTAAACTGTGACACAAAACTACATTTCAGCTGTACAATGGAAACACAATCAAAATACAGACAGGCATTCTTAATGCAAACCAATGGCCTTGATTTGGAAAAGCCATTGTGCTTACAAATCATAAGGCAAGTCAAGGCCTAAAAATGGGGCTTTCTTTGCAACACTGAAATCAGGGAAAGAAGGTGGAAGTATTCCTAGATGCCATATGTAAAAAGTGTATGGTGATGGGATGTGGGTGTGTTTCCTTTTAGAAGCCTGAGTCAAACATCCTGGCACATGAAGATGGCAACTATTATCCCACAGGGAGTTTTGATCTGCTCCCTAAGTGCCTTGCAGATTGCATTTCATTCAAATAAAATCTGATCAGACACTTCATTAAAGTTCAGCTGCTGCTTCTCTGCCAGTCAGGAGAGAATAGAGAAAAATAGTTCCCATCAATGCATTTTACAAGCATTTCCCCCCCTTTTCCCCTGCATTCCAAAATGTTCACCACTGGAGATTCTGCCTAGTAGTATGGATGGGGAGACAGTCAATCCAGGATGTTGGCAGGAAGGGCCAGGAGCAGGGAATGCATTAAGGCGAGAAGAAGCCATCTTCCCAGAATCTGAATCTTGCAAATTATACCATTCAAGCCAAAGTTTTTCAATGGAAAACCAGTGGCAGACCACTTTAAAAGCATGAAGCTTTGGTGTGTAGTTCTGGACTTATAAAAAATTTGAAGATTTCATAGGGCAGGAATAGTTAAGAGAGAGTTAAGAGAGGCTAGTGGATCATACCAAGGCTGTCTCATTTCTTTTCAGCACTGTTTTCCTATTCTAGTCCTATCACTAGGTAGCCAATGAAAAATTCAAAACCATGCTTTTAGATGTCAAGAACATTATTTCCACAAGAGGGCATCATCTGCCAGTGAGAGTATAAAAAATACTTTCTCAAAAGAAAAGCACAGAACTAAAACTTGTCATAAAATTTTTACTTTGCTACTGTTTGGATTATGAAAGCGATAACGGTGGTGCTGATGTTTCAGATTTAATGTTACGGTTTTCTGTCTTGTTGAGGCAGCAAGCTATAGAAATTGGCAATTACATATATGAAGGTGGGACAGGAAGAGAAGGAGTTCTGTATAAAAGAAAAGATGATTAAAATGCATCAGCTACCACCATTAGTCATTAATATGTAAATGCTAATGTTTGGGATGATCAACTTGCTTGTATGTATTTCTGGGGTGCCTTGGAGTCAGTGTTGATCTTAGCAACTGCCTAGACAAGGCCGTACAGTTTTCTTGGCAAGATTTCTTGGAAATGGTTTGCAATTGTCTGCCTCCCAGGGCTGAGAGATGGCCAAGGGCACCTAGATAGCTTTTTGCCTAAGGCAGGACTAACACTCATAGCCTCCTGGTTTCTAGGCTTAACCACTAACCAATATCAATGATATACACTGATAATCCCTGCTAGGGACTGCAGTTAGGTGTTATCTGTGTTTATCATTCACATTGGTGTAGCCAATATAGAGGCTACTCTTCCTGGTTGCAGGCGTCTTGTAAGCATCCATCCTGTTGCTCTAGAAAACAGCATGCTAGACTAAATGTTCCTTGATCTGGCCAAGAAGAGAAGTTCTTATGGTATTAAAGATGCAATTGCACCTCAAAGAAACAATAATTTCCTCTTCAGTATAACAATCCATTGCTTACTTGCTGCATTCTGTGCATATTTACGTATGTATCTGCAATAAGGTATTTGCCCCTTAGAAAATTGAATATGATTTTTTCCCCCTTATTTCTGGGTTTTCACTTCCCGCTTCAATCATGTCCAATGAAATGTAAAACCAATATGAAAAGACTGGTTACAGGTACATTGTTTCTGCTGCCTGATGTCCAACTTATAAACTTACACATTTCCCCTAAGTTACCCTCCCAAGACATATGATAAAGAAGATGATTTACAGCAATATATTTCTGGACCCGGGGGATTCAAAATGGCGGCCTTCTGTTTATCTCCTCTCAGAACAATATAGAAAAGGGTATAAATGGAGAAGTAGAGATGTGCTGTGATTCCAGAGTTTTGATTAAACATTATAATTGATATATTAATCTCACAAACAACAAAAGTGCTGGCATGGAGTGTCCACCCACTTCCACTGATACACAAGTTAGCCACCTGACAAATCATACAGTATGTGGCGTATTGATTGTTCCCTCCCAATTAAGAAATTCCACAGCCAATGAGCAATTCTATGGCCATGGAAAAGCTCAGGGCTCCTGGAATTCTGCAGCCAACGCTGGGTTAGGTGGATGCATGAGTGGCAGATGGTTCCAGACTCTCACTGCCATAATGCAGAATGACATTTGCTGCAGAATTCGCTTACCCTTGCCGCAGAAGCTGGCCAGGAAGTGCTGCTGAATTCCAGGGGCCCTGAATTAAACTGTATGTGATCACGGGATGGAGAGCCTGAAGAAGACTGAAGAGCAAGGGGTAAAGGGTTAAAAGAGCAGCTATGGTGAGCAGGGAAAAAAAAATAAGCATATGAACACATCAGGAAGTATGCAGGACACCATTACCACATCCCAGGCAAAGACTGAATTCACCATTACTGTTGCTTACTAAAGCAAATCATTTCCCTTTCTGCTGGAAATATATCTTGAAACCATACTTACTCTGAGTAATATAGTAACAAATGAACTTTGAAGGAGCAAGACTCTTACTTATTGTCACTGGCATTTATTTTATTCAGCATTATGAATGCTGAACACGAAGTCTTATTTGGTTAAAGAATAGCAGGTAGAATTAGATATTGTGAAGATTTTGTTTGTTTTCTTTCATCTGAACCTTTTATTTAATCTAATTTTACTTTGAACATGGAGCCGAAAGTAAAGTAGCCCCAGAAAAAGTTTCAAACGCTTTCTTCACAATTTAACTTTGGGCTTAAGATGAAAAGTTACATCTTTGCCAAGTCAGTGGATGAGCTGTACTTTTTTTTTTCTTCGCTACATGTATTTATTAATGAATATTCTTAAATGGCATTAGCATCTAATATTTATTTAGAAGTCAGTTTTACTAAGTCTGTGCTGAAGTTTGATACCATGTGGATGGGCACAGATCTGAGATCTAAAATTATGTTCAGTAGATGAGAACATAAAACAATTACTATGAGACAGTAATTTCTGTTTTCTTAAAACTCATGATACAGACTGTTTTTGCTTCCCCCCCAGTGCAGAAAATACTGAAGCCATGTCCTTCTACTGCATAAAGTTGTAAGAGAAAGATCCTTTCTTGTTGCTTCTTGTTACATTCAGATAAATAATATATCTATTGGATTGTATTTTCCTCCCCCCCCAAAATATTCTCTTGCCCAATGCTTCTATTGTCCACCACTTTTCAAAATAATAAAATTAACCTGTAAAATGTATTTATTATACTAATGCCTTCCTATTAGTTATTCCTTCCCCTCTTTCCACAAAAAATCCTGATTAATTTGGGGTAACTTAATAATGCTTTTTAAAAAAAAAATATGATAGCAATCAGTCAACTTTAAAAATCAACAGAAACATTTTTAATAGAATATGGCAGTTGTACAAGATTAGTAAGCTAGTTTGCCTGGAGAGTCTTGTGGGAGACTCTGACCACTTTATCTCTAAGTCAATTGTAATTGACTTATGTGAGAGGCTAAGGAACAAGAAGAAAAAATAAAAACCTTTCTACTTGAGGTGCTTTATGCAGATAACCGGAAGATCAACAAACAAGAATTTGCAATTGTGACCTTCAATGTTTGAGGTATTCGTTTTTCTTTCTGAAAACAATCTGGAATACATTTGCAGCAAAGCTTTGACAAAAAAGTAATGGAATTGGAGTTCAAATTGCCACCCTTTAAGAAAAGAAGCTCTATAGTAAAAAAAAAAAAAAAGACAGAGAGAGAGAGAGAGAAAGTGGACAGAGGAAAAAGCACTATCAAATGCACTGGATGAAAGTAAAAACCCAGAGCAAGAAATGAAGATATAGTCTCTGCTAGAAGTCAGAAACAATATTCAGGTCCTTCAAATTCAGACTATGGATGTTCAGAGGGATGAAAATGAATGTGAGACAGAGCATGATGCTCTAAACGATAAATAGGAAGAAACTGTGCCCAATAAGAAGACAAAGTGTAGTAGTAGTAGTTGGTATTTTAGGACTCCAACAATTGAAATAAACATATGTTGACTGAATCCATCAACTAATGAAGTTTGCCGTTTGCCAGGGAAAAGGTTCAAGGATATGACAGGACATTTTCTAAAAGTTACCACTTTTAACAACCATTATTCCTTCCTGTTGATAGTTGTAAAAATGATGTTGTAAAAAAGAACTATAACTATAACTCTATCATAACATTTCTGACTGAAGGGTGAAAGACATATATGATTCTAAGTCAGCTGGTCATGTTAATAAGCACAGTTGCATTAAGAACATGACTGGCATGGTCAGTCCACACACTATTCTGAATCCATACTATAGAGACAGAAGTCTGTCTGCCTGAACCGTGGTGACACAGTGATTAGAATGCAGTACTGCAGGTTAACTCACTGCTCACTCTCAGGATTTCAGCTACGGGCTCAAGGTTGACTCAGCCTTCCATCCTTCTGAGGACCCAGATTGTTGGGGTCAATATACTGACTCTGTAAACCGCTTAGAGAGGGCTGTAAGGGGGTATATAAGTCTAAGTGCTGTGGCTATTGCTAATCTTTCAAAGTGGATGCCCTCTGGAAGAGGTGGATTTGGCTTTTGAAATTTGGCAAATCAGTCAAATTTGGGAAGTTGTCCAAGTTGTTTTCATCTGAAACACCAGATTAAATAAAGTTAAGTTAAAGTGTTTTAGATCATAGAGAAAGACAAATCAACTTCTGTCTTGGTGGAATGTGCTAATAAATAGAGACGTGTATAAGTTAATTTAACAGTTATTGGCCTTTCCAAAGGTTTTAAAAATGAAGAGCAGGCATGAGAGATTCTGAGTGTGAGTAAAATACCATGCACACAAGTGTGCATTGTTTTGCTTTCCAAACAGCAAGCTCCCTGCTAGCTGTTTGGTCCAAAAGCTGAAAACGCAGTTGAAGCACCTCTTAAATATATTTTTAATAACAAAGTCAGGTAAGGACATAATTTAATAGCCCTTCCCCATATACTACTTATTTATGCCATTTCAAGTTCTCATAGCAGTTTTAAAAAACAACAATATCCTGCAAATACATAATTGCCCAAATGGAAAATTTCAAGTGAGTGAAGACATTTTTCCAGGGCTCCAGAGTTAGCCTTCCATTCATATGTGAGCAAGCAGAAATCAGCCCCTGCATAAAATCTATGGTCCACCTCAAGATAGTACCTTAATTCTACATATGCAAGGGGTGTTAAACCAACCTTTGGTTAAGCCCATTGGCTTTGTTACTCTTCCCTTCTGAGCAACATTAACCAATAAAAAGCCACCTGCCAGCCACAGCCCTGTTATGATTGGCTGATAGCATTGATAAACAATTAGACTAAGATCACCATTAATTCCAGCCAGAGAATAAACATTCTGGATTCATTCCAGCTGTCAAATTCATCTAGCAACCATAATTACATGTAAACCTAGGTTCTCCCATCAGTCTGACATATTGCCCACAACACCACTATTGGTCTATCCTGCAATACTTAACTGACCCTAATAATTTGGGCATGACATTAGGAAATTATTTGAGATGTAAAATGGACATTTGCCTGCCTACATTTGCATACTTTTCCTGTGATTGCATTCACAATGCCTGCCATACCAAAGCCCAAGGATTGACTTTTCCTCTGAGGAAAAAGTGGATTCTTTAAGCAAAATAGTAAATAGAGAAGTGAGGGAAAATGTAAAGGAAAGATCCCAAAAGAACTGGAGGAATAATATGCAGAATCCTTCTTTTACATTTACCCATAAAATCACAGGCCAACGTTATGGAATTTATCTTCTGGGCTTTCCATTTTACTTCTGAGAGCTTTAGAGGGTTTGTTGATGCTGATTCATTCAGACAAAATCCCAAGGTTCAGTTTCTTTTACAAAATCCTTTGCAGAAGGAATAGATATGTAGGTAAATAAAAGAAGACATCCCTAAACTGACCTTGCCACCAGTTAACTGCATCTATGCAATCTTCTAAGCCAGGCATGTCAAACTTGCGACGTCACGTGATGTCGCGCAACGTATTGGGCCGGTTTTGCCATTGCCGGCAATGGGGTGGGCATGGCTTCCACGTGACACATCCGGCCCGTGGGCCGGCAGTTTGACACCCCTGTTCTAAGCAGTGCTATGGAAATGTGTCCGTTTTCAATTTGTTTGTTTGTTTTTTTTAAACTCACAGCCTAGTCAACAACTCTGGAATTCGTTATTGGAACTCTTCCAAGAACTATCCAGAGCTGACCATACTTAACTTCTGAGATCAAAGTCACGTGTTGCAACCTGCTGAGGTAAGCATCAGGGAAGACATCATCAAATTTAAAGAAGCTTGGTGTAGCTTATCTATATCTGAATATTCTTTTAATTATTTTTTCTTTGTTACATTTCAAGATGAGGTCAAGTGCAGCTATATCCAGCTATATGAATCTTCTTTCTATTGTCTCTTTTCCATCCATTTTTCACTATTCACAAGATGTACCCAGATTTCTGAGGAACATTTTTTTCCTGAAGTGCTCATCCTCAGATGCAATGTAAATTGTTAACCTAGTGTCAGGGGTAGGCAACCTCGGCTCTTTTATGACTCGTGGACTTCAACTCCCAGAATTCCTGAGCCAGCATGGCTGGCTCAGGAATTCTGGGAGTTGAAGTCCACGAGTCATAAAAGAGCCGAGGTTGCCTACCCGTGATTTCTAGATCTTCTGTAGACCTGCATAAAGAAAAGTACAGTATTCTCATATAACAAGTGCCCTGTTCAGCAATTGTTTGACAGTGGAACAGCACTGAAAAAGTAAATTTACAACTGGTCTTTGAACTTATGACCATCGCAGTGTTCCCATGATCATATGATCACCAATTGTACACTTTACAGTCAGCTTCTGACAAGTAGAATCAATGGCAGTAAAATCACAAATTGTGTTTGTGTGGTGTCTTGCTTAATGATCAGTTGTGATTCACTTAACAACCATGGCATAGTGAAGTCGTAAATCTGTCATGGTCATGTGATTTCTTGCTTAACAGCTGCATTGCTTAATGATGGAGTTGGCTGTCCCAATTGTGATTGTTAAGCAAAGGACTATCTGCATGAAAGGCTGCAGCAATTTCTCTGAACTAAGAACGGTTTAGATCTAGCAGTATTAAACTGCCTGAATGCAGTTATAATATTCACACACAAGAGGAATAAGGTAGAGCATGTTGTTGAGAGAGAAAGATCCAACATGTTCATTTATGCCAATAATTATAAAGGAAACATCAATTTCTTTGAGATTATTATTTACTTTGAGAACACTACCAAAGCCTTTCTCCTTTTCTCCACTGTAATTTTCAATGATCTTATTTATAAAGGGCACAATCTAATTCAAACTCATGTAAATTTAAAAAAAAAATCTTCTTATTGCCTGTTTGTTTTATAACCAATATTATACTGTCAGCATGAGAAAGAAATAACTGTTTATTGATGCCAGCAACAAATTAATGAATAAAGAGAAGTTAAAAAAATGAAATTAAACCCTTACACAATTCCAAGGAAAGGGATTATATTGTGTGGAGATTCACCTTAAAACAATTGTTTATTTTTTTCCCCACAAGAACTAAGTATCTTAATCAGGCATCGTAACTAAATACTTGCTTAACTCCAAAAAATGATCTAGCTTTTATTGTCACTTACATAGTTTGAATATTCCCGGGGCAATCCTATCAGGAGAAATTTAGCGTTTTCACGGCCAATCCCATTTAGCACGGAATAATATCTTTTTCTCTGTTCTTCAGATAGTCTTCAAATGCCCCCTTTCTCTTTTTCAACAGTCTGGTGTCCTTGCAATATTCCATGGACGTCCACTTACCAAGGAGCATAGATGGACATGGAATGTTACAAGGACACAGACAGTTGAAAAAGTGAAAAAGGGCATCGGAAGAATATTGGAAAGACAGCAAAGAAGAGGCACTAAAGCTAGTATATCATGAAGGCTTACTAAACACCAAAGACACCAAACTGGCCTATAAGAAAAACCAAATGAAAAATAGAAGAGAGAACACAGCAAGGCAAAGTATTATATGGCCAGGACACAAATGCAGGCAAAGCAGATAACAACATGGCTAAGAGCAGGAAAGTTGACAAAAGAGACACGGGGTCTAATTCTGGCTGTATAAGACCACACTTTAAGAACAAATGCATATAAAGCTAGAATTGAGAAGACAGAAATAGAGAACAAATGCTGTGTCTGCAAAGAAGCTGAAGAAACAGTGGACCATCTAATTGCTTCAAGAAGATTGTGTAGACTGACCAGAAACAATGATATGACAAAGTAGCAACAATGGTGCATTGGAATATCTGCAAAAAATACCACTTGGCTGCAAAGAAGAACAGATGGGACAACAAAACAGGCAAATTAATAGAAAATGAAGAAGCTAAAGTGCCCTGGAACATAAGAATTTAAATAGACAAGCATCTGTCACACAACACTCCAGACTAAGCAATTGATAGGAAAGACAAAAAAAAAAAAAAAAGGCTGGATAGTATACTACTACTACTACTACTACTACTACTACTACTACTACTACTACTGCTACTACTACTAATAATAATAATAATAATAATAATAATACAACACCTGGAAGCAGAGAATAGAAGAGAAAGAACTAGAGAAAAATCACAAATTACACAAAGACCTGCAAAAAGAAGTTGCAAGGCCGTGGCAAATGAAAGCAAAGATAGCACCAATAATAATAGGCACCTCGGGCCCAATTCCCAAACATCTGAAACATCACTTTGAACACCATCAGCACTGACAAAGTTACCATCAGTAAATTGCAAAGGACAGCTTTACTTGGGAGAGCTTACATCTTGTAACAATACTTTTAATGTTAAACAAGAACATCTGCCTATCCCAGGTCCTTGAGAAGGACTTGACAGGTGGACAAAAATGCCAAATCTAGCCTAATTGTGTGACCAGCTATAGCGATACAATTTATTTTGATTGTTCATAAAGACACATTTCCAAAACATCTTGGAATGGAATGTTTTGGCTGTGAAATAGGGGGCTTCAAGGATTTCAGATTCTTTCTAATCTGAAAATGGGCTACGGATAATCGAGATCACTTTTTGGAACAGCCCATTTCAAGGTTGGATACTTCCTGAATACTTGGAATGTCACATGGTGAACTTAGCAGCGTTTGGGGAAAAATAACCTGTTTTGAGATTGGAACATTTCATAGCAGAATGTTTTGTGGCCCCCTACTCATAAAGCATTATGCTCAACAACAAAAAAAAGGACAGAGAAAAGATGGAGAATGGAGAAGGAAAAAAAGTAGCAGAAATCAAAGGTCAGGGAAAGAAATGCATTTTTGAGCACTGGGTATACCAAGGTAAGGATGGGGAGATGCAGATTTTGAGAGAACTATGAATTATGGGCAGAGGCATAATATAAAATAAAGTAAGTGGAAGTCAATACAAAGGATAAAATATAGTTCTTAACGAGTAGAAGTTACAAGGTGGCAAATGGAGAAGATAAATGAGTAGCCAAAATCTGAAGGTTTTTTAAAAGTATATAGATTAATTAAGGAAGAAAGTCCAGGGAAAGGAATATATACTATAAAACAAATAACATATAGAAAACAAAACCATGTTGGTAAGAAAAGTAAATAAGAAGAGTAAAAAAAAAAAAAGGATAGAGACAGAATGAAACAAGTAAAAGCCAAGAGGAAAGCAAGAATCGAGGGTAAGGAGAAAGTAAATATCATTTTTTTTAATCAATATTCAAAAGTTGGAAATAGCAACTTGTGTAAATATGAGAAAGAAAAGCATCTTTATGTTTTATTTATTTTGTCTGAGGATAGAATGGAGGATATAAAAATGAAACGAAGGATGTGTAGAGATGGAGTAATAGCTCTGCCTTAGATAATCTGAGGTACCCAGTCAGAAATAATTACAATCAATGTCAAAATGCTGTATAAAAAAGAGGAAAGTTATGCTAAGGAATGCAAAAAGTATGCAAAGAAAACAATGCTTACAGGTCTGCTATTTCGAAGAGAAAACAAATATTGAAAGTTGAAATTAAGAGATCCCAGCAGGAATCAGTTTAAGAGAATAGGCCCCAAATATCGCTCTGAGAAAATGAAGGGGGAGGAAAGACGAAGATAAGGTTCAGCAGATGTCACATATATTGGCAAAATAAATAAACAGCAAACCAAAATAGGAAAGAAAACGAAGTGTGCAAAATAGAAACCTATGAAAAAGCATAGATATATAACCCCCCCAAACTGTAAATCACTCAACGTATTTTAGAATACCTCTTTCCCAATATGTCAAGTCTGTCAGCCAAACAGAGCAATTGTGGACGAACACAATCATCCACTCTCGTGGCATCTTTCTGAGTTGCATTGAAGTCAATGTTATAAGATCCTGCTGAAACCAATGGCTGAAGGGCAGGGTTTAATCTACTCTCAGTATTCTGTCGTATAATAACCTATTGAATTCACATCCTAAACTCAGTGGAAGAACATTTTCTCATGCTCCCAGTACCTGGATAGTGGTGCCATTAATTCTTGAGCACACATTTTGTTGTCAATTCTTTTTTTTTCCCCCTAATCCCCCTCTGCTCCCTGCAAAGGATCTATTTGAAACTAGAAGCTTGTGTATGTGTGAATTATGACTTGTAATATATTGTGAGAAAGTGATGGCATGGCAGCAGAAAAGATAATCCCATTGAACCTAGAAAAGTTCTTTTCAATGTTACGCTCATAATGTTTTCAGAATAAAATGCAAAATAAAATACTCTTGCCATCAATATTGGATGACCTTCTTCTACCACCTCTACCAGTTGCATGTGACCTTTACTGCACAGGATTCAGATAATTCTAAACCTTTGGAAACCAACTTTCAGCCTAGTCTCCCACTGGGTTGGCATCACCTGCAAGCTACTAAGACAGATAACTGAAAGCCATTAGTGGCAAAGATGAGAAAGCCTGAAGTTATTTAGCAAGCAAAAGTAGCTAGTGCGCTACACAAACTCTGCCACCACCACAGATCCCAAATACTCACATAGTTATCTCTTGCAGACCAGCCAGGATAGAGTTGCATGTGAAGCTGCCTTTCCTTGCGGGCCAGTTCATAATACTTGGCTTGCTCCTCCCGTGACAATGCGTGCCACTGAAAAGGAACCATAGAAAACCATGAACCCCTAAGAAGCTTACTGTGGTCTCACAGCTTGATCAGAAAAGAGTCCTGTTGCCTTCCAGGTATTGGTAGACTATAGCTCCCATCAGCAGCAACCAGCCACATTCTTAAGCAAGATCTAAAATATTTCTAGAAATCTTAATTCTCTTAACATTTAATTCATTGCATAAATGCAAGTTGGGCAGAAGGAAGGTCAACATATTAATAAAGATTCAGCCCTTAATTTTACACATGGGGTTTGGAAACAATCTGTTGCATACATCGGATCTTGGTAAACACATGAAAGAAGAATCTTCCACATAACAGAGCAGAATGAGGAATTTGTGACCTTGCAGATGCTGCTGAACTACAACTTCTAGACATTTGTTTATCAATTATATCGATTTACATAGCCACCACCTCACAGCTGTGAATCTGAAGAATGGCCAGTAGGAAAGATTCTGGGAACTGCATTTCAGCAAAAACAATTACAGTTCTAACTTTTGTGATAAGGTAATTCTCCATTTCTCCCTTTCACCTACAAGTTTTCTGTACCAGAACATTAAAAAAAAGATGCAGAAATAGCAATTTTATTTTAGAATTTCTTGGTTTCTCAAATCCCCAATTCACTAATTACTAATACAATCACTGTACTCATGCCTGTACTTATCAGTTTTTATGGAAACTGAACTTCTGTGTGTAGGAAGCAATAGCAAAAGTTTATTAAATAAAGACAATTCAATCTCTTATTCTGTAAATAAATGGAATCCTTGCACATTGTTCAAAAAACCCCAAATTTGGGAATAGAAGATTCTGACCGAATTCACCAACACATTGTTTTGACTTTTTTTTAATGTAATAAACAAAAATATATAGCAAAAAATAGTTTTTACTATTTAGAATCAAGATCAGAATTTGGGATAAAATTGGAAGTTATGTACCTAACAAGTTTATGCCCAGATGAGAAAAAGTAAATTACATGATTTCTAAAAAAAGGAAATTACAGAGATCATTTGTCTTTGAAATCCAAAATGAAAAAGCTTCCTCAGCTATAATCAATCAGTTGAGTAGGCTTTGGTAGGTCATTTCTCATGTTACATCCCCTCTCCAAAATGACGATAGTTGGCACTTACCTTACAGTGTTGTGTGGATCTGTACTTTGTGGAGGGAAAATATTTTAGATGTAAAAAGTGATCTACAAATAACCAATTTGAGTTTTCCTGACATGTTTTGAAAGTCCCAGATAATGAAAAGTACTTCGTAATCTGCTGAGGCAGGGACTTATATGCAATCTTTCTAAAACAAATTTGAAAAAATGGGGGGGGGGGGACGTTTGTTGTATTTTCTTAAACCGTCTTTTCTGCAGCAGTGCAGAAGTTGTATTATAAATTTTGTTACATTTTCAAAGCCCATCCAAGTGCACTAAAACAGATGCAGGTCTAAATATGGAGAAGGTGCAGCAAAACCATGGAGATCTCAACTCTGGAAAAGTGCATTGGTATACTGCAAACTGCACATCATTCTACAGATAGACTATTCATCTATACAGGAGAATAATTTTCAAAGCCTTTCTCCAGCCTCTTTCTCAACCCATTGGAGCAATATCTTGGCTGAAAATAAAGTTTACAACTAAAATCCAAAACTTCTGAAAAACCAAACAACTCATTCCTCATGACCCTTTCCTAAAGCCTATATATTAATCAAAACAAGACAAATCCCTTGTGCTCTTACCCGTCTTCCTAAAATTTGGTTGATCGCGGCGCTTTCCTTCAAGGTGCATTCAGCAATGACCTTTGCCCGCATTTCTTTCATGTACAACATAAAAGCATTCAAAGGCTTCTTGATGGTAGGCTTTTTAGCTTCCTTTTCTCTTTTTGGTTCTGATTGTGATTTCCTTATACGAAAGAGAAAAGAAACCATTGATAATACAGGGTCTTACCTCAGTATTGCAGTCTCTTAGAAAACAATAAAAAAACAAACCAAGGACTTGTCAACGGAGTAGTAAAACTGATGAACCAAAGATTATACGTTGAAAGAGCAAAATATCTTTTCTAATGGTAGCCAACTCCAAGGCGTTATCACTGGAGATATAATTTTGGTCTCTATGGTCCAAAATATCCTTTTCATCCAGTTCAATTAATTTGGTCTGTTACTCTGATAGATGAAATATCCATGTAGGAACCATCGTGTTTATTACTTTGCCTGGTAGGACTGAAGATGTTCTTTTTGAACTGCTACAACAGATGTGTGCCTGACATAAAGATTATGTCTGATGGGTAACAAACAAGAGTGCAGTCTTCCAATCTGTAACTCTGAAAATGAGGCTTGTGGACACTGGCTTTGCAAATGAGAAGCAGCAGCTGCTCTTCCAAGAGATGGAACATAGTAGGGAGCATGCCAGGTTCACCTAGATTCCAGATTTGTCCCATCTGAGGAAGTTCTCCTTGGAGAATGATAATCCGTTTCTATGAAGTGAGGGTGGCTGAGGTCAGGAAGCAGTGCATTTCTATCATGGCTGCCCTCTTCTGTGACAGCCTTCCAGAGATTTAATTGTTCTGGAGGGCCTTCATGGAGTAACTATTCTCACTACTTGGGTATTTTTATTGTTGTTTTAATTGTTGTTATTTGTAGATAGTCCTTGAATTACAATGGTAATTGGGGCTAGAATGTGACTGCATCATTTAGTGCAGCAAACCCAGCAGTCCCCATTGTCATTATTAACTGAACCCCACCAGTTGTTAGGTGAGGACACAACCAATCCAAGCCACTCCCAGCTTGGTCCCTCCCACTCCCAGGAGTGGGAGTAAGGGACTGCCTCCTCTTTAACTCCCCACCACCACTCAATCTCACTCCGCCATCTCTGCCTTTAGAATGCCACCTTGCATTCTGCCACCTCTGTCAGTCTTGCCACCCTTCACTCACTGGCCATGCTGCTCTCAGCTGACCTTTGCCACCTTCCTCCTGCTGCTAGCTAGTTGCACCCAGCCTGGCTCTTCGCAAGGAAGTCACTGACAATGGCTGGCCTTCTTCCTGAGGCCACTTGTGCCGCTCTCCAAATAACATGCACGGTTCCCATGATGTTTGAAAAGGCTTTTATGGCCATCTAAAATTCATGAGAATAGTACTTAGCAATAGCACTTAGACTTATATGCCACTTTATAGTGCTTTATAGCCCTCTCTAAGCGGTTTACAGAGTCAGCATATTGCTCCCAACAATCTGGGTCCTCATTTTACCGACCTCGGGAGGATGGAAGGCTGAGTCAACCTTGAGCCCGCCAGGATCAAACTCCTGGCAGTGAGAAATGAGTTAGCCTGCAGTACTGCCTTCTAACCACTGCACCACCATGCCTCTTCTCCAAATCACTTACACTGTTCTTGTGATGCTTCAGAAAGCCTTTGGAAAGCTGCTGAGAGGTTCTGAAGCATCACAATTTGATGCTTGCCCTATTTGAAAGATAATGCAAGCAAACTCTGGAAGAAGGCCTAGCAGGGCTAAAAGCTGCCTCACATAGGCCAGGCTGGGCACACCTTTTAAGCAGGAAGAGAAAGATCATGACGGTCAGCTAGGCATGGCAGGGCCTATGGAGTGTGGGGTGGCAGGAGCTTTGTGCTGTAGCACTGGTTGTGGGCTTGAACTGAAGTAGAAGCTGGGACTGGGGACAACTGACTGAAATTGCTGAAGGCCTTAGGTCTCTACTTCAGCCCCTGTATTGTCCCCACTGTTGAGTGCTGCTATGTAGGGGAACCAAAAGGCAAAGATGGAGGAAAGGAACATAAGCAAGTGGAGGAAAGTGCCCCTGCAGTCATAAATGTGGCCAGGCTTCCAAATGTGACTGCAGAGGCTCTACAAAGTCTATAACTTCAGGGACCATTCATAAATACCGTACGTTCAGCGCCCCTGTAACTTCAAACAGTCACTGAAAAATTGGTTGCAAATTTGAAAACTACCTGTAATCATTGTTCTGTCTTTGTTGTGCCTTGTACTACTTTTATTTTCTTGTGGAAAGTTTATTGTGCCTTTCACTTATTGCTGTCAGTCTGGAAAATTCAGCAGCATAGAAATGCAATATATAAACAAATGGCACAGTACCTATAAGTCTTCCTCCCAGTTCTTGGCTACTTACATGCTTCGGTCGTAATGATCCATTTCTTGTTTCCCAGATGGAGATGTGATGCCTGGGTGTGGGAGGCCTGTCGCATGCATTCCAGAGCTAAGCATCAAAGGATGTGTAATCCTGCAATATAACACAGATTTCTTACTGCCTGGACTTCTAATGCATTACATTAGAATGGGATTTTTATGGTAGTTGGACTTATTTCTAAATACAGAGAGTAACTGTTTCACAGAACTGTGCGTGGATATTGGTTTAACAGCGAAGCTTGCTGACTTCCATGTAAGTCGACATTTCCAGAGACACACCACAATAGAAACTGAAGCCTGGGTTTCTAAAGTCTTCTGGAACTGCAACATAATGGGTGCTTGGGCACTCAGCTGCTGTATTCTGAATTAGACTGAGAAATACTGCAATGGCAGCCAAGGGCTAATCTGCACTTGAACAGAATTTGGGTTTCAACAATTGTGAGACAAGGGGATACTCTCTAGGTATGTTGTTTTCCTTACATTCCCTGTTGGAGCAAACTAGCACAAATGTTACATGTGAAGATGACAGCCTCCCATCACTGCCATCATCTTTGGTTATCCCTGAAATTCTGTAAGGGAAGCATTCTGCCTGGATGGAGGGCACGCAAGAACGCTTTGACACAGCTCTTGGTGAAGCTTATGGCAATGCTGAGTCAGGCAGCGCCAACTCCAACTTGGTATTTTCTTCTTACGGTGCCTGTAGTTAAATAAAGACTGCAAGATTTAATTTGGGGTTTGATTAAAGAGCTGCATTTAACAGTTCCCTACATGTACCTCAGGTTTAAGTTCTAAGAAAAATAAAAAAAGGGGTGGGGAAAATTTTATGCTGATTTTCTGGCTTCGGTTCTTTACAATAATTATTTTATGCAAGTTGTTCTTGCCAAGGAAACTAGGCTGTTGGGTGACTAAGCCCATTTTTGATGAGGACCTAAGACTTGGCTTATATACCAATTCTTTGCCAAGAATTTCTTAGGCTAACTTCCTATGATCTGCATCTGAGTCTGTGGTTTTAGTGCTGTATAAATATTGAATGGCCCCTTCCCTTTCTTCAGTAATTGTGAACACAATGGGATAGTAGAAAGTGAGGGCCACATTACTGGAATTTTCATAAAACAGATCGTAGGCTAATCGTCTGCACATTCTTTAACAGTTTTGAAGAATGCTTTCTGCATTATAGAAAGATGCTGTCAATGTATTAAACATCATGACTAAAGCTTGAGACAGCAGATTTGCCCATGGGAGACAACCAACTGTTCATTAGCTCTGTTGGCACAAAGAGAAATGATGCTTGATATTAATCTACTGGCATAGCTTGAAGCTTGATCATTATCTGCCAAGGTGTGCGTTCTTGTCTGAAAAACTTGCCTCGTTCTCTGCTGTTAATGGGAATGCTGCTATGGCAAAGAATGAAACTACCAGGTAACTAGGAGGTCTGTAATTCATTTATCTTAAATATTAAGGTACTTAGACATGCACAGGTGCCTGAGGCAGAGTAGACATTAAGGTAATGGCATAATAATACTATAATAGTAAAAATAATTATGTGCCTTTCTCCATTATAACTCCCAGAATGTCTTCATCAAGAGACTTATTAGGACAATACAAAGCAGAAGCCAGAGGAGGCATGCAATGAATGGTGCTTGCACATACAATCCCTGTAGATTAATGGGTATTCCAGCTGGACTTTCTCAGAAGAAATAAAGAGAAAATAAATTTGGCATTGGGGTCATTCCGATTAACTCCCCCAAATTTACAAGCAAGTGGAACAAATCCCAGCCAATTGATCAAATTCTTTTGTGAGGATCAATTAAAACCAATGGCAAATCTGTATGTTCTTCTGAAGCCATGTTAAAAAAAAACAGTTTTGTATGAGAAGTCTGCATACCACTTGCATTACAATCCTCAGCTGTTGTAAATTGCCACACACTTCCATAGAAGCAAAGCTAGTATTTGATAGTAGCAGGTGGCCACCAAGATATTGGTGGAATGAGGAGAAAAGTGTTAACTCCTCTGTAATTCAGCAGAGCAAAAGTGCATTGAGAAAAAGCGAAAATGGGCTCGTGGGATGCAGCACATAAGCAAGAGAATCTGGTAGCTTGAATGCATCAGATTCTTTGCCTGATTTCTATTTCTGTTAAAAGATTACTAATTGAACAAAGTTATAAGGAAGTCCATTGGTTCTCGAAGCTACACCAGACAGACAATTTTATTTTAATGATAGCCAACAAGATACTGTTTCGTGTTGTCTTTTGAGGACCCAGAGCTGTATAAAAAAGAATCACTAGTACGGTCGTTCTACTGAAGTCCCTGGAAAAGAGCCTTTGCATAATTATGCACAGCTTCAATATCTGAAAACAGGACTGAGGGTGGAGACCTAATACAACAAGAAGCATTTTTGAGAGGGCTTAAGTACTCTGGATGTTAAAAACTCATCAGAGCGTTTTCAGCTCTCCTTCTTTTCCATTTCTAGATACATGACAATAAGAGACATGTTCTTTGGCTTTGCAACATCTTGTGAGGGTTCTCTCTCTCTCCTGTCCTACTATTGTTGACCACAACCAAACTGTGTTTCTCCTCTGGAAGGTCATCAAATTATTTACTTATTTTTGGTCTGAAAAGTCTGCCCTGCTTAAAATAAGAGAACGCCTTCCCTGTTGCTGCCATCTGGACGTGAGACCTACTCCCTAAATCCTGCAAACTTTCATGGCTTGAATTGCAACAGAAGCAGAGCAACGTGTCCTGGCTAAGGCAGCTTATACTTACCTGGAGAAAGTAGCCCCAGCAGAGAGCGCCGACGTATAAGGCTGTCTAAATCCACATGACTGGAAAGGGCAGACAGGCTGGCTCTGCCTGGGAGCAGGAAGAAAGAGGCTATAAAGCATCTACACCCATGTCATTTTTCCTGCATACTTTTTTTTTCTTTTTTTTTCGTCTGGACTCATAGCTGGCTAAAGTTGGGAACTTGCATATTGGGGAAAGGTAAACTTTTTGTTGCTTATTGGTTTTTGTCTAAACGTGGACATGAATTTTGCCTAGAGAAGAGTTTTCTCTAGAACTCTCCCAACAATGCTTTAAAAGCTACCTGTAATGACTATATGATTAGCTTTGAAACATGGCCGCGCGGGGGATTTTGGGGGCCTCTAGATACTCCCATGTAACACCTCTCCTGCGTGAGCTGCACTGGCTGCCGGTGGCCTTCCGGGTGTGCTTCAGGGTGTTAGTAACAACTTTTAAAGCGCTCCATGGCAATGGACCTAGGTATTTGCAAGACCGCCTCCTACCAAATATCTCCCTTCGACCAGTCCGCTCCCACAGAGAGGGCCTCCTTAGGGTGCCGTCGGCCAGTCAATGCCGGCTGGCGACCCCCAGGGGGAGAGCCTTCTCTGTGGCACCTCCTGCCCTCTGGAATGACCTACCCCCCGACCTACGTACAACTATGGACCTGCGCCTCTTCTGCCGAGCCTTGAAAACCCATCTATTCCATGCGGCCGGCCTGGCGTAGTTTTGATTGGGCTTTGCTATGGGTTGTATATGGGGTATTTTAGAGCAGGCTTTTTATTCAATATTTATTGTGATTTTTATTATTGCCTGTTCACCGCCCTGAGTCCCGTAAGGGAGATAGGGCGGTATATAAATTAAAATAATAAATAAATAAATAAATAAGTAGGCTTTCATTCCTGGTTGAGCCGCACAATCAGGTAGAGACGTTTGACATAATCCTTCTCCCATAAATCAAGGGATTCATCCAGTCTAGTCATTTGGGTGCAAACAATAATGCAAAATTAATATCCCTAAAAATCCAGACAAATATTTCTATCATCTATGCACAGACTGTATCTTTGCACTATTAGACATCAAGGTCCAAATAAAGAACAACCTTTCAAATCCTGTTGGACTTAAATACAGAGCCATTTCTTAGTTGATGCTGTTGGGTCAGTCCGAAATGACACCACTTGTTCTCTTGCATAAATTACACTTAGAAACTGCTCTATTCTGACCATACTCCAAAAGGTTACAGAAGATTACATTTCAATAGTGAAGGGCATTGTTTAGCTCTGCACATGTTGATTTTTTTTCCTTTCTAAAAAGGGCTGAAATCTCTTGGGTTTTATTGTTAAACACACACACACCAATCCAAAACTAAGCACATTTCCAGTGTGCTCTTAGCAAAATGCTAAACAAATATATGCATCTTTGGTTATTAGCCAAGACCTGTGTGTGGGATGCAGAGCTGGCAAAAATAACTTAGCATTACATCACAGGGAAACATGAAGTGGCAAGTGATTGGAGGAGTAGACTGGGAATGCTTCTGCAAAATTCAACTGAATCCAGGACAATACAGTGTATTCTTCTTTATAGAAGCCTCCCCATCAAAAATGTAAGACTATATCATTTATGCCTTTTCTATTCTTGTTAAACAGATAATGGTTTGCAATAATCTATACTGAGCAAAGGCAGGCAGTGGATCATACTGTGAAATTCTGAGAAAATATCAGTATTTGCTATAATTACTAACCAGTTTGGGGGGATTTTGAACTGATCACATTTGAAGCCTTCCACTTAGGAAGAAATTGCCTATTCTTACTTTAATCCGAAATACGATCTAGGATAGTGTTTCCCATAACTATGTATCTTCCAGATGTATGGACTTTGAGTGCCAGAATTTCCTAGCCAGCATGACTACTGTTGAGGATTTGTGGAACTGAAGTCCATACATTTGGAAGCTGCCAAGATTGGAAAACTCTAATCCAAGACCTCAGAGCTGTACTTAATTATGATGGGATGGAAGCATCTAGTTAAGAATCGATAATTTAATTAGAATATATTGCTCAGTTATCTCAAATACTGAAAGAGCCATGCTGAAAGCAATGCTGGTAGAAACTCATGGCAAGGTCAAAAAGGTTGGAAAGCATGTCTTAATTGTGGGGAAGATCATCAAATTTCAGTAGATGTAGATCTGCAGATGTGGACAAAGCCACAAGGAAAAATGTGCACGAATGGTCTCAGTATTGAAAGAGATTTCCCATTTTACAAGGACGCATGCAATAGGACTACAGAATGTGAAATGTATGAATGAATATACCTCAACATTTTGAATGCAGAAAAGAAGCACGTTAAGGAATGAGTGATCTCATATGATCTGGAATAAGTCAATTTAAATGAGATGATATATTCAGGGCATGAGACGGTAAGAAGGACTGAAATAGCAAAGGCAATAGTGTGGCAACAGAATGGAAAGAACAATTAGGTGTTCAGCTATAATCCAATAAATCATAACAATTGAAATTAATGTATTTTCAGCGAACGTGAATATTACAGAAGGATATGTATTCACAACACAATGACAAAAGGCAAAGGTGAAAGAGGCAGGCTGTGGCAAACCTTAAGTGGTACTGAATGCAACACCTAGAAATGCAGTACTACTAATGGACAATTATAATGCAAAAGAATCAAGGAATCGCAGGAAGATTTCAAACGGGCAAATACAATAATGCAGGAGACAGAATACTAAGAGTTCTGTGAACAGAATTATTTTTGTTATTAATATTGATTTTAAGCAACATAAATAGAGACTCTACACTGGAACATTAACTACATAATATCCTGGTCATCTCCCTTAAGGATTATTGCAATGAGCTCTACATGAGGCTGTCTTTGAAGAGTATCTGGAAACTGCAGCTGTGCAGAATGTGGCTGCTTGAGGAGTCTTGGGCCTCCAAGGATTGTGCAAGTAACACCTCTACTGCATGAGCTGCACTGGATGCCGGTTTGCTTCCAAGTCCAATTCATGTTGTTGGTTATCATCTTTAAAGCTCTTCATTATGGCATGGGATCATGTTTCAAGACAAGACAAGCGTCTTGTCCCAGTTACATCAATCTGCCCACACAATCAGGCAGAGAGGATATCTTACAGACCCATCAGTTAAGAATTTTGATTGGCAGGATCTCGGAAAAGAGCCTTCTCTGCCATTGCTCCCACCCTATGGAATATCCTGTCTCCGGAGGTGAGGTTAGGCCTCATTTTGGGGCCTGCCAGAAGCATCTGAAGACCTGGTTCTGTCAACTGGAATGGGGGGGGGGTCAAAGAGTGGCACACAACCCTGAGATTGGTGGTGGCTTGAGGGTGCTCCTTCTGCTGTTTTTAACTTTTTAGCTCTGCACTTCTTTTATTTTTATCTTTTATTTTTCACTGTGTTTTAATTCTTTTTAATTGTATTTCTTTATATGGTTTTATCATTTGTATCTGTAAACTGCCCAGGGTCACTTGGATAGTCAGATGGGCATTATCTACATTTCATAAATAATTAAAGAAATAGGAATTGGAAAATGGGTTAGGATGCAATCCACTCCCCAGGGCACCTCCAGGTAAAAGAGTGAAATTATTCATTTCAAATACCGTATATGGATTAAGTTTAGAAAATTAAAAATATCAGGAAAATTTGATTCAGAGGACATTTAGACAGATGCAGGATTAATATAAGGATCAGATTCAGCATACTTAACATATAAGAAAGAGGAAATGAGGAGTTAGAGGAAGGAAACAAGAGACACATTATGAGAACCAAAATAGAAAAAAAATAATAAAATCTTAGGAAAAGTTTCAAATGGGTTTCAGAATAATCTGCCACAATAGCTAGTGAAAGGTGGAAAATGAAAACCTTGGGTAACAAGAAGCATAAAATGACTGAACACAATTTTTCAGTTTCAAGCAAGAAAGGAAAGGAAAGCTATCTCAATCAGGAGCGTCAGCAAATAAAATAATGTATCATGAAAAGAACAACTGATACTGAAGAAAATCAGAATTAAAAATATACACAGCCATTACTCAAGCGGTTTTATTAAAGAGGTCTAATAGAGGCAAAGAAGTCTACTGTAAAAGAAAGAGGGAAGTTCTAGAATGAAATATTTTACAAAGGTGTTTATAAAATGACAAACATTTGTGTAGAAAGCAAATATTCAAAAACTAGGTCCCCTGGAAAGTGAGACAGAACAGGCAACAAAGCAGGAGGCAAACAGTTGCACTAACAAATATGGAATAAATCTGAGTTTCCCAAATGTTGGAAAAGATCAGTGAATATACATACATACATACATACATACATACATACATACATACATACATGTAATATCTCTATTGCTGCCTGCATTGTCTTCATCATCATTCTTACTTAACATAATTATCAATACCAGAAGACAACTTGAGGTACAAAGAGAAGGAAATACTAAGTCTATCCTTTCTAAAGTCCCAGTTTTGTATGCTCCATCCCAATACACACATGTGATTCTTAATGGCAGAAAAACTGAGCATTCAAATTTCTGTCAGAATGGTTGAAATCAAACTGTTTAAATCAGGAGGAGAGGAAAAGTATAAATGACACCTAGATGGTTATATTTTAGAGTCTACAAAGATAAGGTGGCTTCCTTTTAAACCTAGATATGTTGCTAATATGAAGAAAACCTAAAGAAAAGGAGAATCTTTGGCAACATTACTTCCCTTTCTAGGGTACCAGGAATTTGAAATCACCATGGAACAAACAAGATGTCTAGATAAAAGGAAGATAAGAAGACAGCAGAGAAGCAAAATGGGTTTTTCACATCTATTTTTGCTGTGAAAAATACTTGTGGGAGAAAATAGTTATACTTGTATGGTTATTTGAGGAAGGATAACATCTGAAAATACATTCCAAATAACAGTGACATAATACATTGCACAGTAATTAATCAGTGGAGCCAGATCACTTTCACCTGAAGAATTCAAATGAGATTTTGCCAATCTCTAACAAAAACAGACAAGTTGCTGTTAAAATAATTTCCAGAGAACAGAACGTCAAATAAAACCATTTTTAAAT